TTCTCGTGCTAACTGGGAGGCATCCTGGACCATCTTGGGCCGTCTTGAGTGCCATCTTGGACCATCCTGGGCGAATTTGAAGGTCCTTGGCCATCTTGTCCGCCATTTTGGAGCCATCTGGAGCACGGAAAAACCTTTGCAACCAGATTTTGGGCAGTGTTGGGGTCCTTGCGGGTGGCTGGCGGCACGAGCCCCAGGGGGAGTTATAAAATAACCAAAACCGAAAGGATCTAGCACGCCCGGCACCCCGGTGGCAAGCCAACAGGTGGCGGCGGATCGAAGACGCCTACGGCGAATCGCCGCCGCCCCCTGCCTTTTTGGAAGCGCCTGCGTGGCCAAAAGTTGGGCTTGAGCTTGGCCATGCTATCGGGCCACGCGTTTCCCGGGTGGGTTTCGAAAGCTTCCGGGGAACACCGAGTCGGGAGAGCGATCGGACCAGGTGTTCTCCGAGCCCTCGGGCCTCCTGGAGGACGTGTTGGAAGATGCCTTGGGCCGTCTTGGAGGCCTCTGGTGGGCCTTTTGGGCAGTCGAAGGCCATCTTCAGGCCATCTGTGGCCGTCTTGGGTGCATCTTGGGGCCATCTTCGCTGCCTTGGAGGCCCTCTTGGCTGTCTTGGAGGCAACTTGGAGGCCATCTTGGCCGTCTTGGAGGCCATCTTGGGCGTCTTGGGGGCCTCTTGGGCCGTCTTGGGGCCTTTGGGGGCCGTCTTGGGCTGTCTGGGAGGCCATCTTGGCAGTCTTGGAGGCCATCTTGGGCGTCTTGGGGGCCTCTTGAGCTGTCATGGGGCCATCTTGGAGGCCTCTTGGGCGCTCTTGGGACGATGTTGGGGGCCTCTTGGGCTGTCTTGGGCTGTCGGAGAGCTGAAAAGAGGAAATTGCCCAAATCCTTCGAACTCCACAGGGAAATCCATGATTTTAACCCTGTCGGGCCTTCCTGGAGGACGTCTTGGAGGGCTCTTGGGCCGTCTTGGAGGCCTCTTGCGGGCCTATAGGGCCGTCTTGGGCCATCTTGAGGCCATCTTGGGCCGTCTTGGGTGCATTTTCGGGCCATCTTAGCCGTCTTGACGGCCATCTTGGGCGTCTTGGAGGCCATCTTGGCCGTCTTGGAGGCCATCTGGGGCGTCTTGGAAGCCTCTTGGGCCTTCTTGGGGCCGTCTTGGGGCCGTCTTGGGGGCCTCTTGGGCTGTCATGGGGCCATCTTGGAGGCCTCTTGGGCGCTCTTAGGTCGATGTTGGGGGCCGCTTGGGCCGTCTTGGGCCGTCGGAGAGCTGAAAAGGAGCAAAAGCCAACATCCTTCACACACCTGAGGTCGTCTTGGAGGCCTCTTGCGGGCCTTTTGGGCAATCTTAGGCCATCTTGAGGCCATCTTGGGCCGTCTTGGGTGCATCTTGGGGCTATCCTAGCCGTCTTGGAGGCCAACTTGGCCGTCTTGGAGGCATCTTGGAAGCCATCTTGGCAGTCTTTGAGGCCATCTGGAGCTTCTTTGGGTCTTCTTTGGGGCCTCTTGGGCCGTCTTGGGGCTTTCTTGGGGCCGTCTTGGGGGCCTCTTGGGCCGTCCTGGGGCCGTCTTGGGGGCTTCTTGGGCGCTCTTGGGGCGATGTTGGGGGCCGCTTGGGCCGTCTTGGGCCGTCGGAGAGCTGAAAAGGAGCAAAAGCCCAAATCCTTCAGAAACCACTGGAAATTCAATGATTTCGGCCTCGTTGGGCTCTCGTGGGGGAGGGCTCTTGGGACGTCCTGGAGGCCTCTTGGAGGCCTCTGGGGCCGTCTTGGGCCGTCTTAGACGTTTCTTGTGCGACCTTGGAGGCATCTTGGACTCTCTTGGGCCGTCTTGGAGGCCATCTTGGACCACCTTGGGCGAACTGGGAGGCCTTCTTGGGCCATCTTGGCTATCTCGGACGCCATCGTGGAGCCATCTGGAGTACGGAACACCTTTGCAACCGGATTTTGGGTAGTCTTTGGGTTTTTTCGGGAGGCCGGCCCGGCGAGACGTGCCGAAGCCCCAGGGGGACTACCACCACCACCACCGCCACTGCCGCCGCCACCGTCCGCCACCGCCACCGCCACCGCCACTACCAACACCACCGCCACCGCCACCACCACCAACACCACCGCCACCGCCACCGCCACCGCCGCCGCCACCGCCACCGCCACCGCCACCGCCACCCCACCACCACCGCCACCACTAACGCCACCGCCACCGCCACCGCCACCGCCATCGCCACCGCCACCGCAACCGCCACCGCCACCGCCACTGCCACCACCACCACCACCACCACCACCACCACCACCACCACCACCACCACCACCACCACCACCACCACCACCACCACCACCACCACCACCACCACCACCACAGTGAGGCTCCTGAAATAAGGTCCAGTTCGGGTTCGGAAGGGGCTCGGTGGTTTCTTGGGTCTGCTGGCGTCCCCTTGCCATTGCGCCACGAAGCCCCCTCGGCGTTCTTTGGGTGATGGCGCGCGCGCAATCGATTAGCCGAACGGGGCGGATGATCTAAGGAACGGGGCCCCGAATAGGGGCTGGGTTCCCTGCGCCGCTGCGAAGATAATGTGCCTGGCCTGCTGCCGTCGTGGGCACCCCTGCGGCTGAGAATTCATTCATCTTCCGGAATTGGAGGCGGGGGTAAACCCGTGCTCGAACCCCTTGCCAGGGATTTCTTTTTTTCCTCCGCAGAAGCCGGACCCCCCGGTTTCCTGGGCGCGCCCCAGAAGTTCTTTCTTTCCGGATGGGCCCCCTATGGGTCTTTCGTTGGAGTCGCGGGGCTGATGCCTGGGGGCCTTCGGGACTCTCATCATCCGTGCGCCCAGCTTGCAACAAAGGCCCTGCCGTTCCTTGCGCGACGCGGTTTGAGGCTCACGTGAATACCCACACAGAGCAGTGGTCACGTCAAGGCCCAGTTCCTCACGCGAGCCCCTCGGTTCCTTGCGATCGATGCAGGTCTCAAGTTGGCCAGGGGGGCCGTCGGGGCTCTCTCTCTCTCTCTTTCTCTTTCTCCCCACTCGCGCGTCCGTTTTTAATCTGAACAAAAGCCCAGCCGTTCCTTGCGCGGCGCTCACCAGTGGCGTTTTTTTTCCCTTCCAGTTGCGTGCCGCGGCAGAGGGGGGGTCTCTGTCAAAACGAGAGGCAACGATGAGGGAACGCTTCCAAAATGGTGTTCGGCCGTTCCTTGCACCTTACATATTAATTAACTGATTATGAATTAGAGGGGCTTTGTTCCCTATTTAGCTTTCCTTCTGGCAGGGGCCTGACTGCACCACCACCACCACCGCCACCACCACCACCGCCACCACCACCACCGCCACCACCACCGCCACCACCACCACCACCGCCGCCGCCCCCACCACCACCGCCGCCGCCGCCACCACCACCACCACTACCACCATCACCGCCGCCGCCGCCGCCACCACCACCACCACCACTACCGCGGGGGGGGCCACCACCACCACCACCACCACCATTGCCATGGGGGCCACCTCCATCGAGGAGGGGCGCGATGCCTCCCCGAGCTCGAGGCTGGAGATGTCTCGAGTGGGGCAGTGTGGGAGACTACACCACCAGGAGAACCCCCCGTGGCCCCCTGTGCTGGTGCCACTGTTCCCGGGTCGGACGTATAGGCGGGATTTGGGAAAGGGGGGGGACGCAAACTGCTGCACGCAGCTGTTTCGGCCCCGCCGCCAGGCGCCTGTCCTTGATACATTGGCTCCTGGGGTCACCCTTGCATGCAGCCGTCTGGCGTGCTCCTGCGCATGCTTCGGGGACGGGTGCTTGGACGGCCTGGGTCGGTCGATCTCTGACATTTTGGGCATCGCTTCCACAAATGCGACGCGCACACTGACCAACCTGGTAGCAGAAGAGCCGTGGCGGGCGGGGACTGGCCATGCCGCTCGGACAACAGCATACTTCAGCATGTCTGTATCATACGTTTCGGTCGGATGTGCATCTCCAAAGGGGGACGCTCATTACTGTTATGTCCTTCTGCGATCCACGTGGCGCTGCCGCCGCTCCTCAGCGTCACCGCTCCTCACGGGCCCTGCTTGCACTTCGGGGAGAACAATGGTTTGAACACCGTTTTACGGGCAACTAGTTTCCACCTCCCGTCCTTGCCTCTTTGTCATCGTCGTCCCCATCGTCCCTCTCCAGTTTCACGCTTCCACTGGTGTGCGCTGCAAGTGGCAAGCAGAGGGTGTCCAAGCTTGCATCATTGGGTTGTCAGGATGCAACTGCAGGGGGGGTTAATTCAGAATCGGCGCTGGTAGATCTCCAGTCGAAAACTGGTTTAATCTGGCCTAATCCCGTTCTATCAGGCTGATCTTTTGTAAATCTGGCCTGATCCCGGGCCTGATCCTGCCCAGTGCTCCCGAACTCGGGCTTCATGCCCCCCAATCGTTCCGACGAAGATCTCCCAGGAGTTGCCTCCCAAAGATAGCAGGAGGAGGGCTGGTGGCTGCCTTCGGCTGGGCATGGCAGAGGCGATGCGCTGACGCAGCTAGCCGTGGCGCCCTCGTCCGAGGGCTCGCCCCAGGCGTGCCGCCCCGGTATTCTGCGGGGCCGCAGTGGCCCTCCGGGGGCGGCCCCCCGCCGGCTTTGCCAGCCCACGCTGCGCAGAACCGTCCCCGCCGGGCGTGTGCTAATCATGTATGAAAAAACCGATTTTAAAACAAAAAACCCTACGTATTAAAAACTGCCCTGTAGCAAAACAGCGAGCTGTCTCCTACAGTGCCGTTTCCAATACATGCTCCGCGTACGGATCATGTATTAAACAATGCAGGGATTTAGTATTAACAGCAACGAGGACTTCATGCATACATGTATTCATAAATTAACCATGTAGTAAAAATCCGATACGTGGGAAAAAAAGCTATGTATTAAAAAACTGCCCTGTAGCAAAACAGCGAGCTGTCTCCTAAGGCTTGCGCTGCCGTGGAACAGCCGTGGCTGCCGCCTGGCGGCCTCCGCCCTGGCCCTGCGGGGCGGCCGCGCCAGGAGCTGGACTTCATCCGCCGCAACCGCCGTGGCGAGGCGCCACGGGCCGCCTCCCCCCGTGTGGCGGTGGAGAGGCCGCTCCCTCCGAGAGGCCCAGGGGGGCAGCAGGAGGAGGAGGAGGAGGAGGAGGAGGAGGAGGAGGAGGAGGGGGAGGAGGAGGAGGAGGAGGAAAAGGAGGAGGAGGGAGGAGAGGAGAGGAGGGAGGAGAGGAGAGAGGAGGGGAGGAGGAGAAGGAGGAGGCGGAGGAGGAGGAGGAGGAGGAGGACCAGTGTAAACCCAGGAGTCATCAATAATGTTGGAATTGACCCTCCCTCCAAGCTTGCTCTTCATAGGTTCCCACAGCGGTTCATTTCCATGGACGGAGCCGCCTCGTTGGAAGACAACCGTTTGAAGACCTTGAAGCATGCCAAAACAATGTTTTCGGGATTTCCAGGCCACGGATCAACCTGAGTGTTCCGTCCTGACGATCTGTAATCGTAACGGAACGCCGTTTTTGGAGCTTCAACACCGCGGACCAACACAAATGTGCTCCCGCGTAATCCGGAATACTTCCAACACACCATTTCTGGTACGTTGATCATGGGAACCCGTGAAACTCTTGCAACTATTTAAAACGAATGTGCGCGGCGTGTGTGGTGCTGAGGCGAGAGCCACATGTTGAAAAAGACCCGCCCACAATCCGTGGAAGTCTTGTATTTTTTCCCCAACCCTCCTATGGTTGGGTACTCGCTTTGAACAGAGCAGTGTGGTCGCCCCGTCCTCCTCCTCCTCCCCTATCCTCCCCTCCTCCTCTCATGTTTCCTGTGTTCCCCTCTCCTCTTCTCTCGTGCCGTCGGGCTGCGATCTGCGCAACCGTCGCCACTTTCGTGGGCTCTTGGGAGGCCCAGCGGAGGTACGTCCCACGCGGACCACCTCGGGACCTCGCGGTGCCCTGGGGGGCTTGCGATCGGCGCAACTGCCGCCACTTTCGTGGGCTCCTGGGAGGCCCAGCGGAGGTACGTCCCACGCGGACCACATCGGGACTTCGCAGCCCCCTGGGAGACTTGCGATCTGCGCAACTGTCGCCACTTTCGTGGGCTCCTGGGAGGCCCAGCGGAGGTACGTCCCACATGGGCCACCTCGGGGCCTCGCCGCCCCCCCTGGGGGCTTGCGATCTGCGCAAGTGTCGTACTTATCGTTGGCCCCTGGGAGGTCCAGCGGAGGTACGTCCCACGCGGATCACCTCGGGACCTCGCCGTGCCCTGGGGGCTGCGATCTGCGCACCTGTCGCCACTTTCGTGGGCTCCTGGGAGGCCCAGCCGAGGTACGTCCCACGCGGACCACCTCGGGACCTCGCAGCCCCCTGGGGGGCTTGCGATCTGCGCAGCTGTCGCCACTTTCGTGGGCTCCTGGGAGGCCCAGCCGAGGCACGTCCCACGCGGACCGCCTCGGGACCTCGCCGCCCCCTGGGGGGCTTGCGATCTGCGCAAATGTCGCCACTTTCGTGGGCTCCTGGGGGGCCAGCGGAGGCACGTTCCACGCGGACCACCTCGGGACCTCGCCGCCCTCTGGGGGGCTTGCGATCTGCGCAACTGCCGCCACTTTCGTGGGCTCCTGGGAGGCCCAGCGGAGGTACGTCCCACGCGGATCACCTCGGGACCTCGCCGCCCCCTGGGGGACTTGCGATCTGCGCAACTTTCGCCGCTTTCGTGGGCTCCTGGGAGGCCCAGCGGAGGTGGGTCTCACGCGGACCACCTCGGGACCTCGCCGCCCCATGGTGGGCTTGCGATCTGCGCAACGTTCGCCACTTTCGTGGGCTCCTGGGGGGCCAGTTGAGGTACGTCCCACGCGGACCGCCTCGGGACCTCACCGCCCTCTGGGGGGCTTGCGATCTGCGCAACTGCCGCCACTTTCGTGGGCTCCTGGGGGGCCCAGCCGAGGCACGTCCCACGCGGCCCGGCGGAGGTACGCGGGACCTCGCCGCCCCCTGGGGGGCTTGCGATTTTCGCAACTGTTGCCGCTTTCGTGGGCTCCTGGGAGGCCCAGCGGAGGTGGGTCCCACGCGGACCACCTCGGGACCTCGCCGCCCCTTGGGGGGCTTGCGATCTGCGGAAGTGTCGCCACTTTCGTGGGCTCCTGGGAGGCCCAGCGGAGGTACGTCCCATGTGGATATTTCGGAGGTGCGTCATACGCGTTTCTTTCAACGCCCCTGTGTTTCCATTTTGTATAGTTGCCGTTGCTCTGCTTGCTGCGCTCTTCTGAAATCACTGTTGGGTGCTCTTCTTGCGCACTGCGGGTCCTTCAGGATGCTAGTCAGCATTGAGTGGTCCTGAGCATAATCGCCACGTGTATAGAAAGGGTTGGGTACGCCACAGGGCAATTAAAACGAATGCGCGCGGCGCTAAGGCGAGCGCCACATTTTGACAACGACCCGCCCTAAGTCAGTGAAATTCTTGTAAGTTTTGAAACGAATGTGCGCGGCGCAAAGGCGAGAGCCACATTTTGACAACGACCCGCCCGC